ACGTGGGTGGTAGTAATGGCGTCAAGTGCTCTTCAAGTGTCCATGTGCTTTGATTTTACTTCTCCTTTTCTATAACTGCGCTCTAGTTGTATCATATATCAAAATACCGGGGTTTTAGAGAGGATCATAATGCAAAAAAACCGCTGTCTGTAGCATTTAAAATAAGAAAGTTATTACATTATGCAGATTTAAAAGTCAAAGTGGCCCTAGTATAGTACTAGTCCAACAACACTTATGATTCCCAGTTTAGACCACTTATCTATTGAAATATAATGAAGATGAAGATTATACTATAGAAGATGAAGGATTATGATATCAGTATAATTTAATACTTCTCAATTTAATACTTATTTCAATATAGCTATACAATTTACATAATGATGTAGGTCTACAGAACAAAGTCTACTAAATTATGTATGCCAAACTTGCTATCATAATGATCACCCTCCATGCACTGGATGGCATGAGACACTGGAAATGTATACATGCTAAATGCCAAGAGAGGCCTAATTCTATTCAGTTTCAAACTGTGGATTAACCTGAAGCTGCATACAAGGATAAATGTAACTTTATTGTAGCATACATTGTACATGTATAATTAGCTATGTGTCTGCATTTTAAGGATCTCTTGCTATAGAAGGTTTACCTTGTGTTTTTTCAGATGAACTTGATGTCTTATCTGTCTTCTCTTCCTGATTCTTTAATGGAGATACTACTAGATCTATGTCATGTAAAAAAAAGTTTATTTACACTTTGGTAATGTTTAGTAGCATCAAAATATCTTACTTGTATTTTGTGGAACAGTTGTGGAGCTTTTAAACCAGCACTTGTAGCTATTATCATCTGTAATAGGAGCTGCCATAGGACAATCTGTACATTTGACTTTGAATTCATCTTTATTAACAACAAGACAGTAACACTTCTTTTCCAGATCATTTGAACAAGCAAATGCATTGACATGATTGTACTCCATATGCAGATCATTCGTAACCTTGTCAACAGCTTGCATGACTACTTCGCGAATTTTTGAGCAATGCTCAAGAGGGCCAGAGAATTGAGCGAAAGCAATCTCAATATGAGTGTAACGATTGATGAGGTGAAGCGAGTGAGTTATGTCCTCAATAGTGATCTGGATCGACATAGCATCTCGAAATTTGAAGTAAAAATCTGGTCTAGATGAAGAAGGAAGTTCAATTTTCAATTCCTTCTGATTGAGGAGGTGCATCA